GGATTTTCTCTGGTGTCTGGATATAATTCAAATTTTTAACATTAATAATATGTACAAGGAAAAATATGAACTAAAAATCACAGTATTTTAGTGTTTATGCTCAGTATTGGGTCTACTTCACAAAACGTGTCTGATTTGCTATTCGGTCTCCTAAAATCTTCTGTTAAAATTTTATTCTAGCCTGTTTTGTTGGCATTATGTTCACAATAACTGCTCTGGGTGTAGCAAACAGAGTCCATCAGAGCCAAAACAGAATCCATAAATGTTGTACAACACAAGCATAAAGCACTTAGTTCAAAAGGCAGAAAAAGTCGAATTTGCAACGCAGATGGATAAACCGATCTACGTATCGGTTTATCCATCTGAAATATGTTTTTCACTGTTTATATTAAAACAGAGAAGAGTCGCTAATTAAAGCACTTCATCAAACTACTCTGGATGAAAACATCAGCAGCAAGATTAGGCCTGTTTCTAACACTGGATGTAGTCAGAAAGACAGATGTTTAGAAATACATCTGGAAGCTGTTTCAAAAAACATTACAAAAATAATGAATCTGATGAAATACAGCCTCACCTTCTGGAAGAGCCTCATGGCTCTCACCCCATCCACAGCAACTGGAAGCACTGCATTAAACACAGCAATGAATTACAGAATTATACCAGATATAAAAATATCATAATTTAACATTAGATTAAAGGTGGGAATAATATTTACTTTGGTGAAGCAGTAGTAATAATATGCATACAAACCAGCAGGTTGACTCAAAGGCAACAAGGCACAAAGAAGCAGCAGGAGACACATCATGGCGTTGATGATGCAGGTTGAAGACAGTAAAGAGATAATAATTTCGACCAATCACACCACAGGAAGTTTCCACGTTTACAGTCGGTCTGCAGGTTGAATGCGCTGCACCAGAAACACAGCGGCTCTTATATTCTGTTTCTTCCAGCCTCAAAACAAGGAAGCTGGCGTCTGAATTTCTGAAAAAATATCCCCCTCTTGATTTCTTATCTTTTGAACAAACATTGTTTCATCTATCAGTTATCAAAGTCCAAATGTGGTTTTTAAAACGTGCCTTGTGCAAACTTTTATATTGCAACACTTTATTTTTCAGAGGTGATCTTGTCATTTTTACTTGATCAGTGACAATTTGCATTGAATCAAAGTGTAGTAATGTTTAATAATACATGCACACTGCTAAAATCTCCATTAACTGGAGCCACTGATTGTCTAATTAATGTCACACCCAGATTGACACGTAGGACTGCAAATGTTTAATCCTCATATAAAGGGTCATGATTCAAACTAACTGAACATTATCACAATATGGAACTTTATTCATAAAACTTGCAACACCTGGAAGCAGGAAATACATTTTTTCTCTTTCTAAATTAGTATCAATTGTTTGTTGGTATATATTTTATACATTTACAAATGATTCATATCTTTAAATAACTGTTGATTCCCTGATAACTCATAAAATGGACAGTTTACGTGGAAAACAAAAACAGTTATTGCATCTGCGAGTCACGTTTAGCACATTTTGCAAGTCAATAAAGTTCTCGTTATTTTTGAAGAACATAAATGTTCCATTGTTTAATTTTAAATTATATCATTAAAGTAGCATTAACATGCAACCTTAATGAAATATTTAGCATTTTGATTTCAGCTCAGTCACACAACACAACAGAATGCAACAATGTTGATGCATATCACTATACAGTCATTATAAAAGGCCAACTTAACAAAAACATCAAACAAAAACATAAAATGTTGCTTTATATGTATTTTAAACAGGAGTTTCTGTGAATGTCTCACATTCCTCTGAAATGTCAGGATCAAACCAGAATAATCTTTTCTGCATGATCAAATACAAACTTTAGATTTTCTAAGTCTGCATTGCAACCAGGACGTTTACAGTTTAACTGCTTATGTCTGAATATTTGATATAAAACAAGAAGAGGAGTTTATGACCATCCTGCAGAACGTCGTGTCTGACCTTGGGAAAAGGGAAATCCTTCCACAGGGAAATAAATCACATTTCCTTGATTGATAAGAGACGTTATCTGGAAATAATGGCAAAACAAGAACTCTGGTTTACACATTAAACATTTGTGTTTATTAAAACTTTTGATCAAACAAACTGACAAATGAGTTTGTTTTGAGGTTTTTTGCCTTGATTGTGTATTTTAGTATATTATTCTTTTATGACATGGATTCTTGCTTTGCTTTGTTTTTCCTTTCATGGAAAATAAATCACTGTAATTAATTAGCTTGTGAATAAATGGGGCAGCATGAACCATCCTGCCTTGCCTCAACAAATCATCAGCCTGTCATTATCCCCTTTATTTAGAACAGATAGGACGTCTGTAACACATTAAACTTAATAAAACTACAGTAGGAAACTTTTATAAAATATTTGTTAAGTTGATGTCCCACATTTTTATAAAAGCTGCCTACTGCATTGAGAGTAATAACTTGTTGCTATGAGTTTACAACTTCCTCATTTAATAATTAGAACAGAATTTTATATATAATTCTAATAATTTAGAATAAATACTCAAGTTTGATAAACATCCATTTAGGCTTTAGGGTGTTGATGTTACAGCAGATATATCAAATTGTTCATTTCTTAGCTGTTATCTTTTAAATTATGATCAAATGGATGATATAAAAGTATAAAAACTTTTCTGAACCACTAGAGGGAGCAGTTAACTGATCAATAACCTGGTTAAAGCATCCAGTTATTGTTGCCCTTGTTTCTAAAGAATGAATTAGTTTAGAACAGGAAAAAACTGTTTCAACTAAAATTCATAATGTCAAACCTGAAAAATTAAAGCATATAATAAATACCCATTAAAAACATCCTAAGCAGATGTCCCAGTGTGTATTAACATGATGACTTCAACATAAAGTGAATACAGTGGAAGTCTTCAGTCAGATTATCTTTAATATTGGTTCTTTTTTAAGTTTGTTCAAATTTGCTCATCACCACTTTTGTATTCTTAAAATAACTTAGCAATCTTCGTTTAGCTTCAACTAAAAATAATCAGCTATTTATACAGGTGAGATTTAACAATACAGTAAATGTTGGTTTCACAATAACCGTATCAATGTCATTTCAGTCTTTGAACTTTTTTTTTTTTAGCTTTTTGTACTTCTTCCATTAGCCCACTTTCATTCTCTCTTTGTCATGACTTCAGCATTTCTGCTCCACCCTCTGTGCTGAATGCTCATCACTCTCACCTGCACTGTGCTGCTTTTCACCTGCTCAGTGCGAGATCGTCTGTTGCTCTAGTCACAGCTTTCAAGCCATTGTTTCATGTTTCGAAGAGTTTGTGGTTTTCTGATCCTGCCTGTCCTTGACCACAGATTCTGCCTTGTCCCTCGGCTGCTGCAAGTTTTCGGACCTCCTGTTGAAGAACCCTGCCTGTGCTGACCCTGCCTCCTGCTTGCTGTTTGCTGGATTATCTTTGCCTGTGGCTCTACCGTGCATGACCCCAGATCGTCTCACTATCTGTCTCGGGTTGGTGGATTTTGCCCCTGTCGTCCGTTTGTTCCCTGAGCCCCCAAGACTTTCTGTAGTCCTTTCTTCCTACTTGGTCCCACCCCTGGCTGGATCTCTGTCCCCTGTGGATTCCCCCTTATCCGCTCGTCTCATCCCACCCCGTTCAGCCCCGTCTATACTATTATTTTGTCATTAAAACATCTGGTGAAACTCACTTCTGTGTTGGCTGCGTTTTGGGTTCTGGCTGAGTTTGCTTTATCGTTACACTCTTCTAGGAAACAATATATTAATTTTATAGTTGACCTTTTCAACTTTGACCATTTACTAAGTTAGCCTGAACATCGATGATAGTAGAATGGTTTTCCTCTGTAGGAAGTTATTTTTCCACCATTTTCATTCAGATCAGTGTAAAGGAGGTTGATTGACAGCGCTAAGACCCGCCTCCTGGCTCTGATTGGTTGTTTTTGGTGCTTTTTGCAGACAACGGTAGTAACACTGGGAGGTCGTGGGGGAGTTCAATGTCTTTACAGATTATCTGTCTCATATGAAAATCTCACAACACGGTGATATTTTTTTAAAAATATAGAAAAATTTCAGAAATTACATACTGCAGGCTTAATAATCAGGAGAGAAACTGGATTTTAGTTTCATACAAGACGGAAGAATTTATTGTTTGAACAAAGTAAAAAAAAAAAAAAAAAACTATTCTGCATTCTGTGTTTCTGACTGGCCACAGTCCCTACCAAATCCCAGTTTATTGTTCCTATAACTGCTACATTCAACATTTTTATCCAATGCACTGAAGAACAGAATCTATGATCTGAATTGCAAAAAATATTTGCTTCACCAGTAGAGGGCGCACCTGTACGGGCAGTTCAGTGGTCAGTAATCTCCTCAAAGCAACAAGTTATTTTTGCCCTTTTTCAAATAAAATTAGTATTTAACAGCCAAACCAATTTTATCCATCCTTAAAATTTTATTTTTCTTTCTTGTGAAACCTAAAGGAGTAAAACTAAATAATTCAAACAAAAGTTTTTTGGTTTAGTCCATCCCAGATCCTTCACTGCTACAGAACTGGTCCATGTTTTGTGTAAAGGTTTAAACTCAACTTTCAGATTGATTGCATTAGCCTCACAATGACATTTTAATGAGTCTTTTTTTTTGTTTTTTACAAACACACATTTCAATTCAAAATGTCAAATTTGCAAGATTTATTTGATTTATAGTCTAGAAGTTAGTAGAAACAACTAAATGTGCCTCAAACCTTTTACAGTGTTTTCTCATTGTTATGGTTTCATAATGTAAAGCACTTTGATCTGCTTTGTTGCTAAAATGTACAATAAAAATAAAGTTAACTTGATTGAGCTGCAGCTGAGAACCCAGCCAGCTGAAACTAATAAAACATTTTACACACCAAACACAAACACATCCAGACCAGCATATTTTAATGCCTGCCGTTTAATTTTGCAAAGAACAAGAATGAAAGTTCAATCAGCAAGAAAGTACATGAAGGAGTTACGTTACAGTACATTTGTTCTGATCGCATGAGAAGCAAGACAGAGTTCCTCTGTCGATGTGCTGCGTCGCGTCATCCGTCAAGCAGCATAGATGGAAAATAAAAGACGTGAAATGAGGAAGATTCTTCATGTCTTCAGCTCAGCCCTGCTTCATTTCTTCAAAACGCAGACAGAGGGTAGGCGGACCGTACATCTGTAATCGTCCCAGCACTTTTCTCCTGTAAGAGAAAAAGACAGAAAACAGTTTTAGACCAAAAAAAGCCTGAAGCCTATTAAAAGTAACAGGGGCATTCAAACTGAAAAAACTTTCCACCACTAAAAATAAAATATATCTTTATTTATTTTATGTTTTTGCATGTGATCAGAAATCTATAAGAAGTGACTTTATCGTGCTTAAAAGAAAGAACAGTTTTACCTGAGAAATTCATTTGCATGCAGTGCTGGTGATAAGCATGATTGTTGGGTTCTCCGGGACACCAGTATGTAAACGTCATCAGCGTCCCATCAGACCAATGCCAATGATTTTCCTGCAAGACGCATCAAGAGAAAACCTCTTAGAGTCTGTGTTGAGGAGGTTTTGATGAATAGAGTAATACAGGGTAATGCTAACCTCAGCTGCATCAGTGCCGCCGATCCACGCTTCTCTCATCTCATGTGTGACCTGCAAAATGAGCCCCTGAATCCCATGGTATTCATCAGAACTGTGCACAGATGCAAGGTTTCCTCCCATGGAAATGCAATTTCTCTGCCAATCAATCGGAAGAAAGAAGAGTAAACAATTGTGAATATAATTATCTGCTTTTTATTTAGGAAGACGCAACATTAAAGAATATAAACATGAGTCATAGTCCAGTCGTACCTCAGCTTTGGCCCAAGTCATACGTCTCGGGACATACTTGAAACAGCGTCCATGGATCAGACGCCAACCATGAGGGCAGTAAGTTCTATGTCCATTGATCTCTTTGTGGGAAAAAATATAAAAAACATTATCTATGACACCATTTATCTCATAGTGAATACTGCCCTGAAAAATATCAAACTAATCTTCACTAATATGGCATAAAAGTTCTAATTTTCACACTGCAGTACTATAGTACTTTTGACTCGGTGTAAGAAAATCCTGAAAAGAAAGTGAACCAATAATATAGAAATATAGAGTATCAGGAACTATATATGAAAATTTTTAATGTTAAAAATGACATTAATTTTCTTCAGTCAAATAATTTTAATTGCACAACTCAAAGGATTCTTGCTTCTCACACTTACTGACAGAATACTCACCATTAACGCTGCTCAGAAGCATCAAGCCACAGAGAAGCAGAGGCAGAGGCAGGATCCTCATGGCTGCAGGTCACTGGGAGATAATTATCACCTCCTGAAAAAAGAAACATACAAAATCAAAGTACAACCAAGAACCAGAAAAACAGGACGAGGTTAAGCAAAAAGGGCTTGCAGAAAAGAATCAGCCTCTCACTCTGAGCTCTGAATCAGGAAGTTTCAGGTCAGATACAGAAACGGTAAGTCGGCTTTTATAGACACATTTATCTTAACATCACATCTTAAAGGAGGAAACTGAAACATTAAAGAAGGGGTGACCGTATGCAAATTGCATACTCTGATCAACAATCACTTATGGAACATGAAGTGTTTTGTTTCTTCCTCAGAGAGTAAATTAAATTTCTTCTAAGTTACAGAGTGAAAACATTCCTGTTTTTTTAAAGTCTGTTATTGTTATTCATGCACATGCACACAGTTGTTGGCAACCCCAGGTTATGAAACACTGACAGAGTAACTGTCCACAAGTATTCAGGCCAAACTGCTTTCAGGTTTGAAGTTTGTTTTTCGGTTTGTCCTCAGATGTTCAGTAGCATTTGCAGAAAAGTCCGTTGTTTTGCTTTTGCGTGTTCTTGGCTGCATGTTTCAGGTCATTATCCTGCTGGAAGGCCTTTGATTGTGACGGAGGTCAAGCTTTCTGACACCAGGAAGAACATTTCTGTCCATAAGGCCTTTTATGGTCTTGAGATTTTATTGTATCCTGAACAGATTAAAGATGCAGCAAAGCAGCCCAGAACATAGCCAAGACTCCTCCATGTTTCTCAGTGGGACAGAGTTTTCACTCTTCATTTTGAGTTTGTGGTCATAAAGTTTTGTTTCATTTGACAAAAGAACATTTTCCCAGAAGTTTTGTGGCTTGTCAATATGCATTGTGGCAAATTCCAGTCCTGCTTCCTTCATGTTTTGGATAAATCATAAAGGAAGCATGTTTTAAGCCTGGAAGCATCTCTCTTTCATTCTCTTCTTTTATCTAATGAGTATTTGACCTGAATTCACATCCTTAAATGGAAATGTTTCATTTGACCCAAGGGAGGAGACAATGAACAGTACAAAAATGTTTCACATGCATTGTGCAATCGATTTGCTAAAATATTTAATGAGCAAAGGAATTACTCAATAAGCTAGTGGAAGTACGGTTGTGAAACAAACTTCTCTTTTGTGAGATCCTCTTTTTATTTTGTGAAATGTTTTTTCCAGGCCTGGACTGGAACTTGGCCCAGAACAGGACCACCAACCCCACAGCTCTGTTGTCCCAATGTCCACAGATCTTACAACCAAACACTAAGCTGCTGGTGCTTTGCTCCTCTAATCTTCAACTGAAATGCTACTTGTGTTTTGTTCCTCTAACATAATTTCATATCTATGTTGTTTCATCTGAAGGAGCAAACAAAGCAGCTGAAACTTTCTTTATGACTAGAGGACTAGAGGAAAGGCTGTTTAATGCAGGAACTTGTAAAAGTCTTCATGCCCCTTAAACTTATTCACAATTTCTCATGTTATGAAACAAATACTTTTTTCTTCTCCACACTTTATGTACATGTTTCTTAATTTACATTTCAGGAAGCTTTACCTTTTTATTGTGTTATTAGCTCTTAACATTGTAAACAATTCTGCTGCACTCTTTCTATTATTTTATTCTTTTTATGTAAATATGTTTGCTGCCACTGATCTTTCTTTTGCTCCTGTGCCACCTGAAAATTATCTCCATTATTTTCTTTTTTAAAATCTTGTACCTATTAGCAATAATACTATCATTATCTTGTGGTTTCTGGTCATAAAATTACATTCACAACATCATCATTCTATATTTTGCATCATAAAATGCTCATATTCAACAGAAGCATCTATTATTATTAGGTCATTTGTAAATTTGTCTAAAAGTTTTTCTCATGTTTTCTCACTGTCAGTTTGCTTGTTATTCCTTAACTGAATTATTTTATTTGACTCACAGGAGGAAGTATTGAACAAGACAGAAATGTTGCACATACATTTCTGTATGTTGCACAATAGCTTTGCTGTCATGCAGTAGTGAATACTCTAACTCACATGCATGTTTGCTCCTCTTCTCTTGGTCCTGTGTTTGTTTCGTGAAATGTTTTTACCCAGATGTGGACGTGGACACCAAGGACGCCAAACGTCACCTCACCTTTGACCTGATATCTGTGCATCTTGCAAAAGAAAAACAATGTTTTAGTTGTTTTTGTTCTTCTTTAAAGTATCAGAAATAGGACTCACTAAGCCTCACTCATCTCAGTTTCCCTTCATCAATTCGGTCTCACCCACATCGCAGTCATTGTGACTCTGTTTTACATAAAGTCCTTTCTCTGCTGATCTAAACTACCAGAGCCTCTGACATATCCTACACCTTAATGGTCATTAATTAAATAACTCAATTTAATGAAGCCTTTTCTTGGCTCAGCTTCTTCCCGTTCATCTGTGTGGATTATTAATGTTTCATCCAATCAGATTTCAGTCTCTATCTCCTTCCAGGGCCAAATATGTGGCTTTAATGTAGAGCCACATATTTTGCAACATGATGGGTTCTGGCAAGGGATTAGGGGCGAAATCCATCATCTCTGCAGAGATGACATCATTTCCCAGAAGATCCTATGGACTGACAGCACAGCATGCTTTTTAAATCATTTACTAATCAATACGCAGTCTGCTGTATCTCTCATCTCCTTGTCCAAGTGTCAGTAAATGGTTCACTTATAGTCACCTTGTCGATGATTAAAATCATTTCTCAGAATATCTCATTTTGCTTGGCAATGCCATATGCATATTAGATAAGATATAGTCTCACTAGAGTGAGACACATTGTAAAAATGATTTATATTTGTAAGTACTTTCAATACCTGCATATTTTTTAAAGCAGATACTCCAGGATGTAAGTGCATTAGATCTGCCAACAGCCTGGATCATTTTAAATCGCTTCTCAAAACTTATTTTTATTCGTCGGCATTTATTTGAAGTAGTGTTTTGATACTCTGTTTTATCAATTTGTGTTGTTGTCGTTCTTGTACCGCACTTTGCTGCAGTTTTACATCTGTTTTTAAAGTGCTGTATGAATAAATTTGTCATTGAGATTGACCTAACCTTTACTTGAGTTATACTTGACCGGTCAGATCAGAACTTTGGCTCTAGTAAAACACAGAGCATTTTGTCTACTTTTGCTCCTTCATCCTAGAACGTTTGGAAAGTCTCTTCATATCTAAACTTGGAAATAATTGAGCTGATGAAGTTGCACCTTCAAGCATCTGTGAACCAAACTGCAGCAGCTCCATGATTCTCTTCCTGATAATTCAAAATAAAAAATTATTGGCTGATATTTTCTAGCAGTCCCATTGTGCTGAACATCAAAAACATTTCTATTTTTAATGTGACCCTAAATCCATTTACAATTACCTTAAATGTGTTGGTCACCCTATCAGATCGTCCCAAAACCTGACATCATCATGTGGGCTTCCTCCTTTTTTAAGTGACAGTCACCACTATTTATGTATGTATATAAACGAACCTCTGTCTCACGATATATTTCTTATCGACAAAAGGCCTTGTATAGATATTTTTCTGATATTATTTTTGACGTTGGGCCTGAACAAAATGTCTATATGAATAAACTTTAAGATTACAAGATAAAAACCTGTTTTCCTTTAGAAACATTAGATAGCAGTGGTTTTTAACCTAACCTTAACTAACTAGTTATACTGAATTTTGAGTCTAGTTGTTTTTTATACAGATGCAAAACTGTTAATTAAAGCTGTAGTGACCAGTGAAGCTCAGCAGAGAGCGCTCCATACTGTTTGTGACCTATTCAGGTGACGGGTCATCATAGGAAATGTATAGAACTGTAAACTTCTACCACACAATGACACACCGCAGCCGTGTTCCTTGTTTTCTTAATGTGTTTAAAAGTCATTCAAGGTATAAAAACACTCAAAATCCAACTTGTTTCAATGCTTCAGAAACTTTATTTTGCAATAAAGAAGAGAAGAAGGTTAAGCTGAGAGAAAAGCATTCTACCACAACATCCAGTTTCCTCTCTGCTCACGACCAAAGAGAAAATCCACCTCCTCAATATTGTCGCGTCTCTCATTTTAGCGTTACAGCAGAGGGAGAGAATGAAGAAAAGTCAGATTGGTGAGACATCTTCATTGGACGTTCCTTCATTTCTGTGTTTATTTCCTAACACAGATGAATGGGTGATGGTTGTTGCATGGGAGGGCAGCACCGTAGCAACCTGCAAGCACAAAGTGATTCATGGTTTTAACAGTAAATTGATTCCTCTGGTGTATGATTTAAGTTATTGATATTATATTATTTGATATTATTTCAAAACATTATTTCAATGTTTACGAGGTTAATCTCGTAAACATTTCAGCAGTTTACGAGAGTTATGATTCATTGCCAGGCAGTTGTAAGCTGCTGCTTGGAGGCCCTGAATTGCACAAAGTCTCTGAAGTCGACCGGATCCGTCGCTCCAGAGCCACAGGCGGTCCTACAAGGACGGAGCACAAGGAGAGAGAAGAAGTAAAGGCTGAATGTTTGAATCTAGAAATAATCTGTTGGGTTTAAAATAAAAATAATTCCTTCAATTAGCAACTTTGTCATTAATTATTATCTAATGAATTTCTGGTAATTTCATCTAAATGGGCAAAAAATTTAAATAATTTTTCTGAAGTCTCAACAAATTCTGCAGAACATAATTGCAATGAGCATCAGAACCTCTGATCCAAATCAATCTGTACGTCCTGGCCTGGCTGTACTGTAGCTTCTCAGCCAATCATATTCACTGTTGGTTGGTGCAGTTGCCAGGTTTCCACCTTGTGATGTACAGAAGCTCTAGAGAGGAGAAACAGAGAAGAAGAAAAACACACAGAAGCATAAAAATATGAATACATTATATTAAAAAACAGAAGTAAAAAATTTGAACAGCTTGTTACCTCAGCCTGAGCCCAGCCTCCACTCCACCATCTCAGCTCCAGCCTCTCCATCATCTCCAGCACCAACTCCAACCGCCAGGTGTGTTGAAGTAGAAATGCATCTTAAAGTGACAGGACACCGGCCCTCGAGGCTGGAGCTGCCCACCCAGAGACTCTACTGCATCAGGGAAAAACAAGGTTTACAAACACTCAAATTAAAAGGACTAAAACAAAGAGTTACTTGTAACTCCAGCAAATAAAACAAGTTAATCTGAATTAAATTCAAAAGGACAATTTCAAAGAAGTAAGATTGTGTTTGTCATATTTGATATATAGTATTTTGATAACTGAAGGTAACATAGGTATTTAATTATCCTATAGAATGGAGCACACATATTCCTACCCCTTTAAAATGCAGCTTGAAATAGGAAACAATTTACAATAGTGCAGCACAAAGTGCTTTACAAACCAAAATCCAACTAAAACACAAAAGGATGCAACCAGAATATAAAAAACCATAAAAGCGTTGAGTGCTTGCTGGCTGCAGTAATGTGGCAGTACTGCCCCCTGCTGGGGGAAACTCAGACATTTAACACACGTCTCACTCCTCACCTCACAGTCCAGGTACTGGAGTCAAGTTTATTTGTACAGCACATTTCAGAAGCAAGGCAGTTCAAAGGCTTTGCAAAAGAAAACCAGGTGAGTGAATGTAGTGAAGTGCTTTAGTTTTCTCTGGATTTGAGAAAGTCTGATACAAATACAGGATATTCCCCATTTATTGCTGCTTCTGGAGATAAATCATTTGCTTTGTTAGTGTCTGATGTGTGCTCAGATTCATGTCTGCAAATAAATCTGATAAGGTCTGTTGAGTTAAGTCAACATCTGCAGTGCCTGTTGGCACAACAATGAAATCTGTCTCTGTATCATGTGAAACTCCTAACTTCTAATATGCAAGTCAAATAAACCTCACAAGTTTAGATTTTAGACTCAACTGTGAATGAATAAACAATTTTGAAAACTTGTCAAGAAGTTAAAGAAGGATAAGAAGTTTGCAGCGTAAAGTCAACATGGCGTCGAGGTGGCGGGCGTTTGGATTTTGGTTCATCCATCAAACTTCAGCTGAACATTTTCCTCCTTCTCTCAATTCTCACTCACTGAAAATAAAATAAAACACAGACAGAATTTTAAACAAATGTCTGGTGAAGGACATTTAATAAATGTCACCAATTTCTATTGTTTCTCTAACTTTGTGTGTCTGGTAGCTTTGGAGTTTTCAGCCTGTTTGAATACAGACAGCAGAGAAGTGACTTAATCTCACACTATAAACATCAAGGTTTCGTAAAAAGCATTTAATTGTGTCGGTTTGTTAAATCTATGCCCTTGATTTTATTTATCTTACTGAAAACTAGAGTCAATTCTGAATGACCACAATCACAGGTTGATGGTTCGAATGCAATGTTTCTGCTAACTCACGACAGAAGGAAGCTGCGACTTGAGATCAATGAATTTGTGTTCTTGCTTGAGGCCCAGATGTTGCAGCACACTGACATGTGGCGCAGTCAGATTGAGTGGGGCCGATGTTTGAAACCCGCAGTGTAAAGGTGTGGCTCCTTACTGAATCAAAAATGCACAACATTCACCAAGGGTGAAAATCCCATCTCATTATTGGGATCAAAAATAGGAAAAATCTCCTAAGACCAATTTTTTGGGGGTCAGCAGAGTTACAGTGAAATGTAATAGAAAATGTTTTAAAAAGTTTAAACCCCGTTCAAGCTGCAGGAGCAAAAATAACTAGAAATGCAAATCAAACTGTTTTTCTCAGTAAGATTCCTGTTGAGAAGTAAAATTAAATTCAAATGTTGCTTGGATACGAGTTTTGTTCAGTCTCACTGATCTAATCTCTGCTACAAAAAGTTAAAGTTCTAAATAAAAAGAAAAGCAGCTAATCAGCAACTGCTCTTAATAAATTCCTCATAAACATATTGTAATGGCTCCCAATGCAAGCCATGGGATATTTAAATTATAACTTAAGTTGCTTTATTTTAAAGCCTTTTTTAGTTTCGTCATGTCCTGGATGATGGAGAACCAACAGGCAGATAGAAATTAATATCTGAGGAGTCTTATAACTTAAATGGGACTTTAAATCTCCTGGGATTTACAGCTATAGTTAAATCAAGACTAAATCAAGACGCCGTTCATTGTTGCCTTTGAACCATAATAACTGGAACATGGACCAACATATTTGATGTTCATTGATGATTTGATGTTACCAATTTTAAATAATGTAATGCATTTGTGATGGTTTTGTTGA